GCTTCCCCTTCCGCTTCGCCCTGCTGGTGGCCGGCTTCCCCGCGGCGGAGGCGGCCGGGGCGGCGGGGGCGCTGCGAGTGCCCAGCCTGCACGTCTTCGGCCAGGCCGACCGCGTCATCCCGGCGGCCGAGAGCCGGGCACTGGCCGCGCGCTTCGCCCGGCCGGTCCTGCTGGCCCACGAGGGCGGCCACTTCGTCCCCGCCGCCGCCGCGCAGAGGGCCGCCTACTTGGCCTTCCTGCGCCGCTTCGAGGTGCCCGCGGGGCCCGAGCTCGGCCCGCCTCGGTCACCGCCGCCGGCTCCCTCACGCGCGTCGGACTCGGCGCCTTCCCCGCAGGAGCCAGGCCAGCGTCCGGCGGGAGCAGCCTCGAGTCCTTCACCGGCTGCAGGAGGAGGAGGAGGAGAGCCCCGCACTGGAGCCTTGCAAGACACCGATCCGGACTCTCCCCAAAGCGGTCTATAATGGTCCCCGACTGGAGGTTGCGGTGCTGCCATTAAGGGACTTTTTTGGATACAAGACCGCCCGAGCCGCTGAAGTCGCCCTCGAGACACCCCGGCCTTTATTCCCCCCCCCCACTGTTTCAGGCCGGTTCTTCCAAGTTCCAGGCTTGGCTAATAACAATGGTGGGACTTGCCAGCCATCCAAGTTGCAGATCTGCTTTCCGTCTCAGCTCAAGGACAGATCTTAGGATTGGATTGAACCGGAGACCCCTGTCCTGGGATGTTGGACCTTGCCACCTGTCAGGATGTCTGGAGGAAAAACGGGCAGGTCTGCTTTGCTCATCTCAAATGCTACAAGATAAATGTCTTCCTCCCAGATGAGAGGCTTACTGGCTCTGCTGCCGCCTGACTCACAGCCTCCATGGTGCAGAGTGCAGAGAAGAGCTACAAAGAGGATCAGGGGGCTGGAGGTTGAAACATACAAAGAACGGTTGCTGGAATTGGGTATGTCTAGTCTAATGAAGGACCAGGAGGGATGTGATAGCAGTGTTCCAATATCTCAGGGGTTGCCACAAAGAAGAGGGAGTCAAGCTATTCTCCAAAGCACCTGAAAGCAGGACAAGAAGCAAATAATCAGGGAGAGAAGCAAACTAGAACTAAGGAGAAATTTCCTGACAGAACAATTAATCAGTGGAACAATCTGCCTCTAGAAGTTGTGGATGCTCCAACACTGGAAGTTCTTAAGAAGAGACTGGACAACCATGGGTGTGAAATGGCATTGGGTTTTCTGCCTGAGCAGGGGGTTGGACTAGAAGACCTCACTTCCAACTCATATTATTGTTATTGATTCCAGGAATTGCTGTTGCAGCTTGCCTCCAGAGGTTGTGGGTGCTCCATCACTGGAGGCTTTGAAGATGAGGCTGGACAGCCACTTCTCTGAAATGGGTTAGGGTCTCCTGTTTGAGCAGGGGGCTGGACTCTAAGGTCCCTTCCAGCTCTATTCTGATTGATTGATAAGGATTCTAAGCTTTATTTTAATAGAAATTGAACAGGTGTAATTAAATGGTTTTGTATCCGTGATTGTTGACTCATTTAATGTTCTTGGCACCTGCTCCATTGGATGAGGTCCTCTTTTGCTGCCTCTTTGGACCCTCCTCCCTCTCAGTACCTCCAGCCAAAACAAGCTGGTATCTCCTCACACAGCCTGCCTCTCAGTTTGGCTTTTTTGGTAAAATTTAGGGGAGGATATTTTCAAAGATGCTGTCTGTGACTGCACTTGTTTTTTCCAGCAGTGATTAAGGTCAGCAGAAACTCCTTAAAGCATGGCTGTCAAACTCTCCACATCACGTGATGTGTCGTAATATATCGCAACTTTTTTTGCATTGCCAGAGCTGGGGTGGGCATGGCCTCCATATGATGCAACTGGCTGGTGGGCTGGCAGTTTGACACCCCCTGCCTTAAAAGCTTTTGAATAAAGTGTAATTTGTCATTGGTGCTTGCTACATGCCACTCTGAGGGAAGGCAGGCTTTTCCCTCCCACATATTGCACCCTCACACCACAATTAAGGAGGCAGCCCTGGAGAAT